CTAAAAAAAAGAAAATTTAAAATATCTTGCCTGACTTATATATATTGACAGTACAGTTATGAAAAGAGAAAAAAATACAAAGTTCTTAGGAGTTATAATAGATGAAAACTTATCTTGGAGGCAACAAATTGATAATATTTCAATGAAAATTTCTAAAAGCATTGGAGTTCTACACAAAGTTAGACACATTAAATAAACATCAATTAACACAACTATATTATTCATTTATTCATTGCTATTTAAATTATGCAAATATAATATGGGGAAGCGCTCACAAAACCAAACATAAATCTCTCTATCGACATCAGAAACACGCAGCTCGCATAATTAATTTTGCGAATCGTTTTTCAAGCTCAACACCACTTCTTAAAGAAATGAAAGTTTTGAATATTTTATGTTTTATGTTTAAATGTAAAGAATATATATCACCTAATGTATTTATAAATCTTTATAATTTGATAAAGTATCGAAAAGCCATTTTGCCAAACTAAATTTGACCAGTTTTGTATTTCTTATCGTGGTCCTTCTCTTTGGAATAAAAGGGCTTCATGATAAGATCCTGTGATCTTCTAGAAGTCCTGTCGGTAGTATATTCAATGTAAATTTACCTTGTACATATTTGGACAAATAATAATAATAATAAAAAGTATTTAAAAAAAAAAAAATTTTTCTCTACAAAATCTACTAAAGAAAATACTGTTCCTAAAAAAAAATATAAATAATAACAATATATCTGCCAGTGATGAAAACAACATTTTTCAACAACATTTTTTTCAACAATTAGAGAAATAAATATTTTCAACAATTAGAGAAATAAATATTTAGAATATGTACCCTAACGATCCTATTAAATTATTAAAAATTTTGAGCAAAACGCAGATTGCTAAGCATAAAAAAATTAAATAACTGGTAGTTGACCAGCATTGTTAGATGTATATGGTAAAAAGAAATTTAAAAGTTTTAAAAATTTCTATCGCGGCTGATCACTTTGAAAAAAAAGCACTATTATTTTTTTAAACCAGTCTTTATGAAATGCTACGACATTTGGTTTCTTTACTTTTACAGAAGATAACTCATGTCCTCATGTTGAAAGAAAAAGTTTAAAAAAACTATTGTCAAACTTATTTAAATCACTTGCCTATTTTTTTCAAACACAACTTCAAATGGTATGTACACAAAACAAAACTGCTGCTTTCTCTTACCATCTGAATCAAAATCTGAGAAGTACTTCCTTATCCAGAAAAACAACATTTTGTCGGATATAATTAAATGCTTAATAGACAGTATCCTTTTAAACAGAGAGCACAGCGATATGAGACTGGCCACATAAAGAGTACAAATTATTTGCAACTTTAGAAAAGGAAAACCTTCGTTGAATTTCTAACTTAGAAAGTATAAAACTTCTACGCTCCCATATTAATAAATTAATACGTAAAATTTTTATAGTCAATTTTAGTACAACATTAAAAAATTAAAAAAATTTATATATTTTAGTCTTTTGACAAAAAAATGTAGCACTCTATTAATAGTATGGGGTATCCACTCTGCAAAAAAAATTCCTTCCTGAGATTATCTCAAAACTAATATATATATATATATATATATATATATATATATATATATATATATATATATATATATATATATATATATATATATATATATATATATATATATATATATATATATATATATATATATATATATATATATATATATATATATATATATATATATATATATATATATATATATATATATATATATATATATATATATATATATATATATATATATATATATATATATATTAGAGCAGGCCAAAATCTAAAAATTTTAAAAATTACATGTGGCTGCATAAAAAGTTGTTCTTTACCATATAGAAATTATTATTGAAAAAAAAAGTTTTCTATGATGTTTCTAAGTTCTGCCGCATTTCATTAAAAAATTGCGTTTTTACGCAAAAATATCACT